GCAGTGGTGGGATCTTGGCTCACTGCAACCTCGGCCTCCTGGGATCAAGCAATTCTCCTGCCTCAGCCTCCTGAGTAGCTGGGATTATAGGCGCCCACCACCATGCCTGGCTAATTTTTGTATTTTTAGTAGAGATGGGGTTTCACTATGTTGGCCAGGCTAGTCTTGAACTCCTGACCTCAGGTGATCCACCCACCTTGGCCTCCCAAAGTGCTGGGATTACAGGTGTGAGCCACCGTGCCTGGCCATGCTCAAATGTATTTTACTATCGAAAGCACATAATCGGAGTTTGGAGACAACTACTAGCAGGCACAAAGCACAGTCCACAACCCAGATATGCATATAAAGTTAGAGGATTTTCCTGGTAACAAATATAATTCTAATAACCAACTAAATTTAAGGAAAAGATCCTGTAGACTGTGAGGTGGACCTGAGAAATCAGCTCACGTGGGGTTTGGCAAAGAAGAGTCAGGACAGGGAGTGGGGCTGGATCCCAGGAGCTCAGCCTGGCCTGTACCTGTTTTGGGAAGTGTCACCTCTTCTACATTGGGGACTGGCGAGGGCTCGTCCATGTCCTTCGTCAGGTCTTCTTGCTCCTCTTCTCTGTGACCACGCTTTGACTTAGTGTAAGGTGTTGAGGGACTGGGAAGGAAGGAGAGTGAAAGAGAACCCAGTCATCCTTGGACAAGAGTCCCTGGAAGTTAAAGTTCAAGGGAAGGGAAGTGACAGAGAATCTCAAGGGTAGAGTTGAGTACAAACAGAAACCAGTAATTACAGAGTAATGGGAACTGGCAAAGGCTCTTCATTTGATAAAGCTCTCTTTAAGTTTACTAGTGGGGCCAGGACCAGAACTAACAACTAAGCAGCTAAAAATCTCCTCATCTTCCCTCTCAGGACACCTGCAGTATTATACAGCACACCCAGGTCAGGGCCAGGTGGTTAAAGGAAGGGTTTTGGTTTTCCTTCCTTCAACACGATGTGGAGAGAATGGTGAACTCAAGGGCAGGCTAGGGGCTGGCACACCCTTTCTTAGCATTTTTCTTCTTCGCTTCTGGGGTTGGTGAAGGAGAAGGGGAGCGCTTCCTCTTCTTATAGTTTCCCCCCTTCTTGTCCCGTCGATCTGAATCTGGGCTGTTCACCTATAGGATGGAGAATCAGGACAAATCTCAGCATACAATCCCCAGTGAAGACTTTTTCTGAGACTTATGCTAAGGGCGCCTGGAAAAAAGAACAGGGTTTGTCACCTCATCTGTCAATGTCTTGGCTGAAATCTTCTTTCGGCGGGAGACGGGGTTTTTGTCATCATTTACTTCATAGTCTTCCTCATTCATCCATTCATTGAAGGTGTCAGTGTCTAGGATCCACTTTGCATGAACCTAAAGTACGAAGGCAGATCATGCCGCAGAGAAGCTCTGTCTGCGGAACCTTAACAGAAAAAGCCCAAGGACACAGGAGCCTCTGTTTCACTTCCAAAGAGTAGACTGGTCCTGGCATTCTTTTTTGGGAAGCGGGGGTACAAGAAAAGCTCACCTTCCTAGGTTTCTCAGGAGTTGGAGCATCTTCCACAGATGCTTCAATTTCACTTGCTGGGATCCATGTGTCATAACTGCCATGGGAAATTGGGCATACAGTAGAATCAATGAGATGGAGTTGTGGAAAAGTAAAGTGCAGATCTTTTACCCTTTCCATTTGCAGAAAGTATTGGGTTGTTGGCTTATTTTTTTGGTATTCTATTCATACAAAGTAGTAAAAGCCCATTACAAAACATTTCAAAAATAGAGACTGAAAAGAATCACCCTTACATAACTACTCTTGACACTTGTATATATATTTTTCACAGTAATTCTTTTTTTTTTTTTTGAGATGGAGCCTCGCTGTCACTCTGTTGCCCAGGCTGGAGTGCAATGGGGTGATCTCAGATCACTGCAACCCCTGTCTCCTGTCTTCAAGCAATTCTCCTGCCTCAGCCTCCTGAGTAGCTGGGATTACAGGTACCCACCACTGTGCCTAACTAATTTCTGTATTTTTAGAAAAGAAGGGGTTTCACCATCTTGGCCTGGCTAGTCTCGAACTCCTGACCTTGTGATCCACCTGCCTCGGCCTCCCAAACTGCTGGGATTACAGGCAAGAGCCACCACACCGGGCCGGGGTTTTTGTTTTTGTTGAGACAGGGTCTCACTTTGTTGTCTAGGCTGGTCTTGAACTTCTGGCCTTTAGTGATCCCGTGCCTTGACCTCCCAAACTGCTAGGATTACAGAGTGAGCTACTGTGCCTGGTCCACAATTTTGTTTTTACATAGTTATAATCACATTGATGATATTTTACATGCTATTTTTTTTTTTTTTTTTG